AGAGCCGCCTCCTCCTCTCTCGCCCCTCCCCGCCTCCTCCCCCGCTCTCCTCGCGGGCCTCCTCGCCCCCTTTTCGGGTTTACTGCACCCGATTTTGCCCTCGCTCCTCATTGGCTCTTTCCCGTCGCCCAAAGCTCGGGGCTAGCGCCTGGAGCCCCAGCATCCTGTTACAGTCGGCCGCGCAGGCAGGGGCCGGGACGGGACGCGGCAGTTGGGCTCTCCGGAGAACTTTCTGAAACTCGACCAAGTTGCAGCACAGTCTTAACCCTTTCCCCACATGGCCACTCCTCATTTCCACTCACACCGAGTTAGGTTTCTTTCACTTCCCAGGCAAGGTATTGCGAGTGTATTCACAGACACTGTGGGGTTGGTTCCTTAACTCCACTTTGTAAAGGCAGAGCATAATGCAATGTTGTTCTAAAACTGTTAAGTTTTGTTGTCGTTTTAATTTTTTAACGTCAGTCTTAACGATGGACGGCATTTAAAATTAGGCAGGAGGATGTCGCTGTATAGCGAGAGGTTGCATCGATTCTTTTACAAGCTTACGAGTTGAGTGCGCGCGCGTGCGCGCTTTGGTTTTTTGTTTGAGCTTTTATTATTACTTAGTCTGCGTTTACAATAAGAGCTCTGACTCAGAAATCAGACTGTCTGGATTTGTATCCCAGTTTCACCCCTAAATAGCTGTGCGGGCAACTTATTCCCTTCTGTGTGTACGCTCCCCCCACTGTAAAAGGGGGCAGCTGCTATGGGAACCTGCTGTTGAAGAATTGTAATAATATGCAGCATATGATATATATTGTGCGGGCTGTGCCCTTACAACGTGGCTAGCACATAGATAATAAGGGTGATATGAGTTGTAGCTTTTCTCCAGAGGGATTTGTAAGTCTTCCCTCTTGATGTATCATGTGTTGGTCATCTCTGCTTGGAACACACTACTCCAGATCCCTATTCCACTGAAATTTCCGGTGGGATAGGGGTCTGGAAATGCCACTAGCTGGCTTATCTGAGGAAAAGCACCACATGTATCTTCAAAAGCATCCAAGAACCTCGGAAATTCAATCCAGCAAGTCACATTTGCTGAAGTTCAGGCAAAGTGTTGTGTGAAGGAGTGCATCCTATACCATTTTTTTAGACACTTGCACTTTTGCCCATCTGCTAACCCTTGCTAGGAATTCCTCTTCTTTCCTCCCCTCTCTGTGTGGTCTAATCACCCTTCCAACCTTTGAGTTCCAGTTAACTATATGAATATCTGATTCTGATCCCATGCTACCTGTGTGGTTATTTATCTGGCTGTGCACACACTTATATATGGGTGTTTATGTGTATCTCTTCTCTCCATCTACATTAGGAAAGCTTCCTGAAGGCAGGGACTGTTTTAATACCCTCTTAGTATCACTGTATTCAGCACATTACCTTGCAAGCATTCACCTGACAATTGCCAGAGAGAGACTCGAGAATGTAGATTGGTTGTAAATTGTTTTTTCATTAACATACTTTTAAACTTAATAGTACCCATTTAATCTCTACTACAAATAGAATTAAGTCGACTTTTACCAAAAAACAAAAACAAAAGAACTCCCTTGCCACCTTTCACTTTCCTCCCCATTGCTGCCTCCCACAGACATGAAAGGAACTACAAACTTGATTCATAATTAACAAGGTTGTATATTCTAAAAATGGAATTATGGTCAGGTGTTCACAAGCATACAAAATCGATTCTCTTCAGGTTATCTATTCTTTATGCCTACTGTTGCCAAACACTACTTTATAATATAGGAACTAATTTTCCTCCCTAATTTTAGTAAGGCATGAAAGGGTGATGACTTATCCTGCTTGCCAAATGCCACTCACCCATGTCCTCTGTCATTGTTTCATTCTGCTCATTTCTAAACACGCTGCTTGCTTTCTAGCTCTGAATTAGATTCCTCTGGCGGGGTGGAGTCTATTATTGTGGCCTGTGTTATGTCACACATCGACAACTATATATAGTTGAGGGAGAGAAAAAAGCTGAAACACATTTTTACACACTACTAATAAATCTTGTTAAGGCAGGCAGACAAGTCGCTATGTCTCCAAACCTCCCCACCCTTCCAACCCCCCTCCTCACCAAATGGCACTTTGAGCTGGCTCATTAGTCCAAAGCAAGCCATTTGCCATAACAGCTTGTATATCTCCATGAAAAAGTGTTCTCAGCAAGTTTAAATACTAAAACTAATGTATTCAGATGGTTCCGCCAATAAAATGGTCACAAATAGGAAAAAAGGTTATGCTTTCCAAAGTATCCATTACACATTAATAAATAATGCTGTTCATTCACATGCCAATTAAAACAAACTCGGGCTGTCAAATGAAGTTAGAAGTAAGGAGCTCAATGCTGTAATTGTTTTTCCAGGAAAACTCCCAATGTCATCAGATTAAGTGAGACAGGCCGGGTTGCCCCTATTCTCTTTTTAAGCTAGCAGCCAAATTTTCTCCCCTCCAGTCTAGTTCCCTGGATTTTCTTTCCTCTTTGATTCTTTGTTTTTCTTGCAGGTATTCCGGAAGCAGTTGAAAGTAATCGCCCACTGCTCCCTTCTGTTGCCAACAGAATCTCACTTCCCCCTACTGTTTTGATTTTTCTTTCCCTTTCTTTTTAAAGCAGGTGCTGGTACTTTTTCCTCCACTAGTGCTATTTCATTATCTCCTTTCTAATGTTGTTCAGCCCTAGTTGGTTCTTTTGCTTTCCCTGGATATGCCTATCTTCTCAGAAAAACTGTTAATTGACACTCAGAAAGTGTACCCCTAAAGATGGGGTGGACCTGCTGCTTGGATGATCTGGAGTGTAAGATAAAGTTGCCAGCATGGAAAAGAGTCTTGGCTGAATATATTACAGTGGTGTAACTTATGCTTGAAGATCTTTCCTGGGCAGAGCCAGAACATGTCCCTCATATCATAGTCTGATGCTTTGCCCTTAGGCAGAACAGCTCCTAACAGCACCCCCACCAAAGTCTGAGCATCATTCTACAAATGCCTTGTCCAGCGGTGAATATTCTATTGCAGCCAAGCAAAGTAAGGAGCATTAGTTGCACATTTAGCCATCAAACAAAGCAACAAGATGATGCCTTGCCACTTTTATGGCCAAACAAACACAAATGATGTAATTGGGAAAAGCTGTCTCCGAATAGGAGGAAAAAAGTAAAGGGCAATCCTTTGAGTTGGAGTGATGACCACCATTCGAGGGTCTGGGATCAAAGCCCCAGCCAGACATCAAAGCCCATTTGGGTCTAATGCCAAAAAAGCCACAGTGAATTAAACTTCATATATAAACTAATTATAGCTTGACCCCACAATCAGGCTTCAGTGAGCACACAGGGAAAAGAAAGCAGACATTGAAACAAAAGATCAAGAAAAAAGAAGCTTAGTAGCAAAACAGGGCAACATCATGGCCCTGAAAATTTTAAACATCTTTTGAGGGCAGAAGGGAATAGGGGAATAGCAGAAGCAGCAGCAAATGTTTGACAATGCTGGTCTTGTTTGAAAGGCGATGAAACAACTCCTTCCATCCTCTCTGGTGCACAACCAAACACTACCAAAGAAACCATCCTAGAAGAAAAGGTTACCTTTTAGCCGTGTTTTAGTGCTGTTAAAGAGGTTTTTGTTGAAGAAGGCCAGGGTGATTCCATGAAGTTTGGTGGTAATTTCTTCAGGAAGCTCCGGCTTCCTTGTGCAGAGCACTGTGGATTCCAAAGATTCTAGAATGTCTGGAAGTGAGTTGCATTCCCCCACCGTCGTAATCACTGATTAAGGTGATTAAGGCTCCACCAGCCTCAGACTTTAGTCCCTTAGCTCTGCCGTTTCTACCGGTCATCTTTACAGATGGAAGGTGCAGAGTTCTACGTGTGCAAATACCTAGAGCTACATACTGTGGTACTAACACAATGAAAGGATTTCATTTCAAAGCAAAATTTAAAAGTGTTTCAGAGACAAGTGGCTTTTTTTTCCAGACACGGTTTTACTCTGTCACGTAGGCTGGAGTGCAGTGGCACGGATCTCAGATCACTGCAGCCATGACTTCCCGGGTTCAAGTGATCTTCCTTCCTCAGCCTCTCAAGTTGCTAGGACTACAGGCTAATTTTTACGTTTTTTGTAGAGATGGGATTTTGCCATGTTGGCCAGGCTGGCCTTGAACTCCTGAGCTCAGGCATTCCACCTGCCTTGGCTTCCCAGAGTGCTAGGATTACACAAGTGGCTTCTTTAACCAATTGTATTAGGTGGATTTTGCTCTTACTCTGCTTTATTGGGACTACTTCTCCGATTATTTAAAAATTTTAATTTCAGGCCAGGTGCAGTGGCTCATGTCTGTAATCCCAGCACTTTGGGAGGCTGAGGGGGGCAGATGGCTTGAGTCTGGAAGTTCAGGACCAGGCTGGCCAACATGGCAAAACCCCAACTCTACTAAAAAATACAAAAATTACCCGGGCTTGGTGGTGGTTGCCTGTGATCCCAACTACAGAGGAGGCTGAGGCAGGAGAATTGCTTGAACCTGGGAGGCGGAGGTTGCAGTGAGCCGAAATCGTGCCACTGCACTCCAGCCTGGGTGACAAAGCAAAACTCTGTCTCCAAAAAACAAACAAAAAAAAGATTTAATTTCACAAACTGGCAAACAATTGCATATATGATTTCATAATTCATAGAATCTTTTCAATCACATTTTTGTATATAGACATTAGTGCTTTCTTACAACAATGTCTAAATTTATAACCTGAATACTTAATAACTGAAATATTAATTTTTTTTAAAAAGGCATTTTCCTGGGATAAAAACACATATGTACCATCATAATTACACTGCACCTCTTTGAATATTCACTCACAGATATTTATTGAGTACCTAATATATATAACAGGCACTGGGGATACAGTGGGTGAACAAGTCAGATATAGTCCCTATGTTCACGGAGCTTATGGTCTAGAAAGTAAACTGGCACTAATTATATAACCACATACATAAGTGTGTATGTGTGCATTTACAAATTGTGAAACTATCACAATTTGCAAAATAATATTTTAAAAGCAGATATATTCTATGATTATATCCAAAAAGTCATACTCAAATGAAATCACAAAAATATATTACTGACCTTTATAATCCTTAAGTTTTTTCCGGGGAAGGAGAGCTTATATTTTATTTTGTATTATCTTATTTTAAAAAATACTTCTTAAAGCCACATTTGAAATTTCTTTAGGAAGATACTTGCTGTATAGCAAAACGGTTCAATATTTCATCTAAATATCTTCCACTGAAAGGGAGTCA